TATATATATATATTTTTTTTTTTGCGTTAAATGTAGTGAATTACATTGCTTTAGAAAGGATAGTTCAACCCCCAAAAATGCTGTCATTTACTCATTGCTTGCTTGTTTGAAATCAGAAACTAGTTTTCCTTTCACTGAAAACAGAGGAAGATATTTTGAAGAATGTTGGAAACCTGTAACCATGTTTAAATAGATTACCATTAATGACTAAAAGAGACACAGTTTTACTTTTATTTTATTTTTTTTACTTATTTATTTATTTTAATTTTGTTTGTTTGTATGCTTTTAGTTTATATATATACACACACACACACACACACACTCATATTTTGTATAATTTGTAAATGCAACAAGGTTATTGTTGTAAAAAATTTTTTGTAAAATGTAGTATTTCAATGTACAAACAAAACAAAAAAGAAAACCTGTAACCATTTGCTTCCATAATATTTCTTTTCTACTATGGAAGTTAAGACAGGTTTCCAGCATTCTTAAAAATATCATCTTTTAGGTTTAACAAAAAAGTTAAAATGTTTTAAACAAGTAAACAGTGAAAAAACGATGACAGTTTTTGATAAAGAGTTAATAAACAGGGCTGAAGAATTAAAAATTTTTACATTGTAAAAGCACTATACAAATAGGTGAAAATTACTTCTCATCATGATCGCGGATAAAATACTCTGCGTGCATTAGATGCATTTTTAGAGCATGTCACATTAACCTACTATTATATTAGCCTTTATGTTATTTACATGATGGCATCATGTAATTTTTTTAACTGTGTGTTTACTGCTTCTCATAGCCTAAAAATGAGCATGTGTGTTTCAATGCAGCATTTAGCTACAATTTAGCAAAATGCCCCATCAGTGCTATAAAGGGAAGGATGTTTTCACATGAAAACGGTAGTAAGATGTACATAGGTCTTGACTGATTTTCTGTTGTCACTTTAATGATGTTTAATCTTTATTTAAATGTATACAGTAAAGTTTATAAACAGTATCCAGATTATATTTGATTACACTTTTCGTTTAGCTTAAGTTTAGTAGTTGTGTTTTAACTAAATAGTTTTTGTAGTTAACAAAGTTCAACTAAACATTTTTAGTCAGTTTTACTGACTTAAGACAACTAGAAAATGTCAGTTGATTCAACAAAACAATTAAAGGCAGAAAGGCAGTATTGTTCAGTTTCATAATGTCACGGTTGCCTATTTTTCTTTTTTATGGCAAGAAACTGAACCAATGTAATGTCGACAATGAGAAAAGCAGTAATAGTTTTGGCATGCAGTTGCTTCAAACAATTGAATAAAGCTGTTTAAAACATCAATAAATATACATTGTGATCTTCACAATTAATAAATACGATTTCAATGGCATAGTCAACAATTATGATTTTGGTCGTAATCGTGCAGTCCTTGTATATAGTGAGTACTTTTTCATTTTTGGATCTATTATCCTGTGTCATTTTAGTTAGAGATAGTTCAAACAAAAATGAAAATCATGATAATTTACTAGCCTGATCTTACGAGAAAACGTAAGTATTTTACGTTTTGCCAGTTTAGTGGCTAATTTGTACGAGTTCAGTCGTACGAAATTGTATGATTTTAAAAAGGAGGCGTGGCACCTAACTCCACCCCTAAACCCAACCGTCATTGATGGATGAGCAAATCGTAGTAAAAGGTACCAATAAGATCGTACGAATTCATACAAATTAGCCACTAAATCAAAGTTACGAACTGTCTTGAGATTGCGTTAAATTTACTCACTCTTTACTCATTTCAAAAGTTTCTTTCTTCTGTTGTAAACCTGTGACCATTTACTTTCATATTTTAATTTCTATGAATAATCCTAGGTAAGTCAATGGCTGCAGGATTTCAGGATTCTTCAAAGTATCCTCTTTAGTGTTCAACATTAGAAACTTGTAAAGGTTTGCAACAACTTAAGGGAGAGTAAGATTTCATTTTTAGGTGAGCTTTCCTCTTATGAGCAAGTTGATAATTTGGCTTAGAATGATCATTTCACCATGACTAGCAACACTCAATTTTGGACATTTATTAATTAATAATTCATTAAAGAGGTTAGGAGTTGAGTTTTTTTTTTTTTTTTGGTTGAATTAAAAAAATTAAAAAAAAAACACTTCACCCAAAATGAAAACTCTGTCATTTTGCTCATCTTTACTTATTACAAACCTGTATCTTTCATCATTCAAAGTTTCTTTCATTTGCTAAACACGAAAGAAGATATGTTGGAAATACGTTGGAAACCTGCAACCACTGACTTTAATAGTTTAATTTCTTACCTACTAGGAAAGTCAGTGGTTACACGATTTCAGGTTTCTTCTAAATATCTTTAGTGTTCAGCAGATGAAAGAAACTCATAAAGGTTTAAACCTCTTGAGGGAGAGTAAATAGTGAGTAAATGTTAAGTTTTGGGGGGTGAGGCAGTGGCGCAGTAGGTAGTGCTGTTGCCTCACAGCAACAAGGTCGCTGGTTCGAACCTCGGCTCAGTTGGCGTTTCTGTGTGGAGTTTGCATGTTCTCCCTGCCTTTGCGTGGGTTTCCTCCGGGTGCTCCGGTTTCCCCCACAGTCCAAAGACATGCAGTACAGGTGAATTGGGTTAGGCTAAATTGTCAGTAGTGTGTGAATGAGTGTGTGGATGTTTCCCAGAGATGGGTTGCGGCTGGAATGGCATCCTCTGCGTAAAAAACTGCTGGATAAGTTGGCGGTTCATTTCGCTGTGGCGACCCCGGATTAATAAAGGGACTAAGCTGACAAGAAAATGAATGAATGAATGAATGTTAAGTTTTGGGTGAACTATCTTCTATCCTCTAAGTCAGGGGGTTTGGTAGTTTGGCTTAGAATGGGAATGCTTGTCATTTCACCCCAACTAGCAAACAACACTCATTTTTGGACCTTTCTGCAAATGATTAAAAAGGTTAAAAGTTTAGTTCGTTGTAATTTTAGGTGAACTATCCTTTAGTCATTTAAAGGGATACATCACTAAAAAAATAAAATTATCATTTGCTCGCCCTTTACTCATTTCAAAACATTCAAAGCATTTCTGATTATTTCAAAGTTACTTTTCCTACTATGAAAGTCAGTGATTGCAGGATTTCAGGTTTCTTCAGAATATTTTCTTTAGTGTTCAACAGAAGATAGAATCTCAACGGTTTGAAATCACTTAAGGGTGTTTAAATAGTGAGTAAATGTTCATATTTGGGTGAACTATCCTCTGATTCGGGGAATTTGATATTGTGGCTTAGAATAGGAACCCTGATCATTTTGCCACGACTAGCTTCAGCAATTAAATTAAATTAAAAACACTTCAGCAATTAAATTAAAAAGTTTAAAGTTTACTTCGTTTTTGAGTGAATTATTCTTTGTCCAAAAATAAAATTGCCATTTGCTCATCTTTACTCATTTCAAACTTGTATGAGTTTTTTTATTTTTTTTATTTGCTAAACACAAAAGAAGATATTTTGGGAATACATTGGAAACCTGTCACCATTGGATTTCATAGTATTGTTCTTTCCTGCTATGAAAGTCAATGTTTACAGGACACCGCTTGAGGGTGCACAAATAGGTTACATTTTCACTTTTGGGCAAACTACTCTTAAAAGTCAGGGAATTGAATATTTTAGTTTAGAATGGAAACTTTGTAAATGTCTGCAATTAATCACTAAGATTAAAAGTTTAGTTCAGTCCATTTTAGTTTTGGGTGAACGATCCTTTAGTCATTTAAAGGGAAACTTTACCCAACATGAAAACTCGGTTCAACCAAAGAAAGAAACTCCTAGAGGTTTGAAACCACTTGAGGCACAGTAAATGAGTACATTTTTGTTTTTGGATGATCTATCCTTTATCCTCTCAGGTCAGGTAATTTGATATTTTGGCTTAGCATGGGAACCCTGATCATTTTACATCTAGCAAACATTATTAAATTCTTTTATAAATTAATTAATTAAAGTATAAGTTTTGTTACTCCATTTTAATTTTGAGTTTAACTATTCTTTTAGTTTTTTGAGGGATACTTCACCTAAAAATAAAATTGTAATTTGCTCATCTTTACTCATTTCAAACCTGTATACGTTTCTTGGTGATGCTTGGTGGAAATGTGTAACCGTTCACTTCTATTGTATAATTTATTTTCCCACTATGCAAGCCAATGATTGCAGGATTTCAGGTATTTTCAAAATGCCTTCTTTAGTGTTCAGCAGATGAAAGAAACTCATAAAGCACAAAATAAATAAAAATTACATTACTAACGCTTTCCTTCTTAGACTTTACACACCTAAAACTCGTCTACAGCACTTATCAATTGTTGCTCTTATAGTTTTGTAAGTTGCTTCCTTGTCCTCATTTGTAAGTCGCTTTGGATAAAAGCATCTGCTAAATGTAAAGCGTTGAAACCACTCGAGGGTGTGTAAATAGTGAGTAAATGTTCATTTTTGGTGTGAACTTTCCTCTAATTGGATATTTTGGCTTAGAATGGGAACACTGATCATTTCACCAGCACTATTAAACAACACACAATTCTTGACATTTCTGCAATTAATTAGAGGTTAAAAATGTTTAGTTTAGTTCCCATGAACTGTTCTTCAAGTCATTTAAAGGCATACTTCACCCACAAATAAACTTGTAATTTGCTCACTTTTTGCTCATTTTAAACCCTTTATAAAACAATAAATTACATGAAATCCAACCTGAAGTTTCACACAGAATTTTAAGACATTTTAAGAATCGATTTGATCAAGTCGTTTTTACCAGATGTCGTATTGGGCACATGGTTTTTTGCTCCAAGGTGAAAACCCTACTCAGTGTTTGTGCTGCAAAACTCCTCTTATAAAACATATTTTACTGGACTGACCTGCTTTTACTGATTCCAGAAGGACTTTTTTATGAAATGAACTCTTTTAAGGACATTTTTGACAACGTGAAACCAGAAAAGATTTTAGAATTTGTATCATGTATTAACACAAAAAATCTTATTTAATTCATGTTTTATTTTGTTTGTTGATTTTTAAATTATATATTTATTGTTGAAAGATTCCTGCCATGAAGATAGCCTTGGTTGCGGACATGGCATTAAATAAAAAAAATACATTACATTTCTAAACCCTTTATATGTTTCTTTCATTTGCTAAACACAGAAGATATTTTGGAAATGCGTTGGAAACCTGTAACCACTGACTTCTATAGTGTAATAGTAATATAATAATGTAATAATATAATAGTGTATAGTGTAATTCTTTCCTACTATGAAAGTCAATGTTTACAGGATGCCACTTGAGGGTGCACAAACAGTAATTGTTCATTTTTGGGTGAACTGTCTTCTTACAAGTCAGGGAATTAGATTTTTTAGCTTAGAATGGGAACTCTGGTCATTTCACCACCAGCAAACAACACTCGCACTGCAAAAAATGCTTTTCTTGCTTAGTTTTTTTGTCTTGTTTCTAGTCTAAATATCTAAAATTTCTTATATCAAGAGGCATTTTCTAGACAAGCAAAACATACCTTCTTGTTTTGAGTAATTATATGCCAATAATAAGTGAGTTTTTCTTAAATACAAGCAAAATAATCTGCCAATGGGGTAAGCAAAATCTTGTTTTTTTCTTTTGACGTAAGATTATTTTGCTTACCCCATTGGCAGATTATTTTGCTCGTTTTAAGGAAAATCTCACTTATTATTGGCATATTATTTCTCAAAACAAGACAATATGTTTTGCTTGTCTCGAAAATTCTTCTTGATTTAGGAATTTTCAGATATTTGGACTAGAAACAAGACAAAAAATCTAAGTAAGAAAAGCATTTTTTGCAGTGCAATTTTGGAAATGTCTGCCGTTAATCAATAAGGTTAAACGTTTAGTTTGCACATTTTAATTTTGGGCTGAACGATCCTTTAGTCATTTAAGGGGATACTTTACCCAACATGAAAAGTCTGTTCAACAAAAGAAAGAAGTGGTTTGAAAGCACTTGGGGGTGCATAAATAGTGGGCACACTTTTGTTTTTGGATATGCTATGCTTTATCCTCTTATAAGTCAGGGAATTTGATAGTTTGGCTTAGATTGGGAGCCCTTATCTCACCACGACTAGCAAACGACATTCATTTTTGGACATTTCTGCAGTTAATTAAAATGGATTTAGCTCTGTTTGTCTTTAAACGAACTTGCATGAAGCAACCACTTGGTGGCAGCATCCGAACACTAGCCTGCTTGTTAGACCTTGGGGAACACTGTAAAAATTGGTGTGACGTCCGTAAAAAGTGCGGTGGGTTTGCATCAGCATCACCCACCCATTCAATACGACCTTCACCCACAATGCACTGAGCTCACAGCGGCTCAACGGTGTCCAATAACAACCCTCTTTTCTCCAACAGAATCAGGCAGACAGACGACTCAAGCTGAATTACAGACAGAATGGAGTGAGTTCTGACTATTCAACCCCCAACATCCCCCTCAGCACACTTCAGTAGCTCAATCTGCACGTTATATGGCGGCCTTTTCCCAAAGAAACGCGCCCAAACATAGTCCAAAACACAGCCCAGTCCATCTCAAACACGCTAGATAAACCCCTCAAATGTGTAGCAAGCACAGACAATGAAACACAAACACGTAATGTTCACAAAACCACACACATTCCCTCCTGTCCAAGTGATATTTATGGGTTTGAAGACCACACACGCTGCAGATGATGCTTTAATGTATGCATATTTATATCTCATTAGCATAAACATCCACCAAGGCCTGCAGTGTGTGCGCAGATAGACACACAGTCGCCCAACAAACTGCATAAACACAAACATCCACAGCATTATAAATGTAAATCATCACACAGGAAAGCTTCATCTATGACAGCTGTGGCTCTGAATTTAATCATAATAACTCCTGTAACGGTTAATTGTGATGCTTAAACACTTTATTTAGCCTATTCAAAGCTAAACATCTTCACTGTATTTGTTATTGCTAGCAATGTCTTGTTTTCTGGTAAATGTTTGCAGTAATTGACTAATTGAAAGCGTGTATGTTTTGATTCGAGCTGTAATCTTTTGTGGATCTGACAGTCGAAATGGACCCTGATATCATACATGGGCCTGGTATTGTAAGCGATTGATCAGTGCATGCTATTATGAGAGTGAAATTGACTGTGAATGTTGTTCCAGAGCTGATCCGCGCTCACTTGCTGTGTTTTCAACCATCTGTATTGGGATATCGTGTAAAATGCATGATTTGCATACCTTTTTAAATGTGCATGAACTCTGGTTATTTGTTTATCTGATAAGACGACATGCACAAGGAAATGACTGAATAAGCTCCTCAATTTGCAACAACAACAAGCAGAAATGCATAATGCTTTGCATACTTTGATTGCCAATGCACCAATATCGGTGTACACACAATGTACACACTGTTATTTGTTTGAACTACTTATTTAAAATAAGCTGAAACAACATGTGTAACCCCGCTGGTCCTACGCCACCTAACCTGCTCTGAGCTGGTATCGAACCGGCGACCTTCCACATGGGAGTCAGTTGCTATAACATGGAGGGTAAAGATAATTGCCCCCAGTGTCTGTCGCAAGAGCACCTTTAGAGGTCAGAGGAGTGAGGTTTACCTGCACAGCACACACTAGCTGGCCTCCGTTACAGTCACCCCCCTAAACCTCACTCCCATCCGGGTCACGGCACCAATGCAACCCCACCAGTCCGACGCCACCCAACCCGCTCCGGGCTGGCATCGAACCGGCAACCTTCCGCATGGGAGTCAGTTGCTCTAACAAGGTGGCTGAAGACCATGGCCTCTAGTGTCTGTCACTAGAGCACGTTTAGAGGTCAGAGGAGTGAGCTTTACCTGCACAGCACTTACTAGCTGGCCTCCGTTACATATGCACAGGGACTTTTTAAGCCAGGCAGCCTAAGTGCTTCTGTGTCTTTTTATTAAAAAATTGTCACATTTAAGATTGATTTCTTTCAAAATTGGCGATCTTCACTGCCTGTTAGATATACAATATGAAGTGGGTCTCAGATTAGACAAGAAGCACTGCATTATCTTTAAAATATGACTGTTTATATTACCCCAGTATTTTCAATGGAGTTTCTGCTCTAGCCTGCTGATCCTGATGGCGCTAGCGATTACATCGGCCTCTTGTTTCACGCTTGAACAACTAAATGAATGCTTAAGTCTATTCAACTGAATGTATTGTGATTGCATTACAACATCGATGCTGTAAAAAAAACAACCTTGTGAAACGAAAAATAGTCACATTAAGCTTTCACCGGAAGTTTATCGTTGACTTTAAAACTGTAGCTTTGCATAAAGTCATTCCTGAATTCAGTTTATTTTGGGGAAGTGGCAACTTAATTCTTGTTCAATCCACTTTAAGTTGTTAACTTAAATAACTAATAAGCCAACTTAATTCCTTCATGTTCTCCCAACACTAATCGATTGTGTAGAACCCAACTTTTTTAGTGTACACAATTATAAATGATGATTTAGTCACTTTTTGAAATGCCTGAACCAAAGTCTGCAGTCAAACATGAAATAATTGATATAGTTTCAAGATAAGTATCACGTTTAGAACAGTAGTGCCAAGTATAATAAAGTATAAAAGATTTTGCTGCTTGTACAAGCTACTTGTTTTAAACAAGCTGAAACAACACAACTATTAAGTGATTGGAGGGTTGAGTGACTAATTGAGACGACTTAATTTGGTTTCAATGAACTTAAAATTGTAAAAACTATGAAGTTAACTTGCTAATTTAAGTTGAGATGACGTGAAGGGTTTGTGTGGAACCTAGTTTTTTCAGTGCATAATTCAAGTTATTACATTAAATTAACGAACTACCAACTTCCCAAACTGTAGAAACGTAATTTGTTTTAATGATAAATTCAATTCTGGTGGCTCAGTGGCTAGCATTGTCACCTCACCTCAAGAAGGTCTCTGGTTCGAGTTCCAGCTGGGCCAGTTCTGTGTGGAGTTTGCATGTTCTCCCCGTGTTGGCGTGGCTTTCCTAAGGGTGCTCCGGTTTCCCCCACAGTCCAAACACATGCGCTATAGGGGAGTTTAATAAACTAAATTGGCCGTAGTGTGTAAATGTGAAAATGTATGGGTGTTTCCCAGTACTGGGTAGCGGTTGGAAGAGCATCCACTGCGTAAAACGTATGCTGGAATAGTTTGCGGTTCATTCCGCTGTGGCGACCTCTGAAATAGAGACTAAGCCGAAGGAGATTGAATGAAATTCAAAGAGTTGATTTGGGGATTGAAAGTCAGCAAGCGTTTTACGCAATATTCCAATTGTTCCTCAATTTATGTTTGGTGGAAACACAGATATTGAGTCCGGTTGGTGTTTGATTAATGGACTCATTTCTCAATTGTCCTTCTTGTGTTTTTTTTTTTTTTTGTCGATCCTCTGTTCCTCTCTCTTCCCCCAGTCATTCCCCCACTACCAGCAGCCTGATGGCCAGTAATGTCACCAACAAGACGGACCCGCGTTCGCTCAACTCCCGCGTCTTCATCGGGAACCTCAACACCATGCTGGTGACCAAGGCCGATGTGGAGGCCATCTTTAGTAAGTACGGGAAGATCGTGGGCTGCTCCGTGCACAAAGGCTTCGCGTTTGTCCAGTACGCCAACGAGAGGAACGCCAGAGCTGCGGTCAACGGTGAAGACGGGAGGATGATCGTGGGACAGGTACTCGGTAAGTTGAGTAGCGTCTAAGGCTCTGTTTACACTGCCAGTTAAATGTGACTCAATTCTCATTTTTTTGCTTGTATGTGATGCAGATTGGATCTGTTCTATGACAGTGTCAATGAAAAAAGAAATTGCATGCATTCGGGTATTCGGAGATCTGTTTCAGGCCTCGTTCAAATGTGAATATAAATCAGATATGGGACTGACATGTAAACCGTCAAAATAGAGCCCTAAAAAAGAAAGTGATTGGACCATGTTTTTAAATTTGTCCAGAGAGGTCATGTTTTGATCTTCAATTGGTCTCACGCAATCATGTGATGCGATTTCGCAGGTCAAATTTCAGCAAGCTTGAACATTCCAACGCAGCGAACTGCGAAACTTGTTGCACAAGCTTGTGTTTCTGCTTTGACGCATTCGCGTGTGTATGAATGGAAGTCTGTGGGGAGATAGGTGCAGTGTGACCTCAGCTTAAATCCAAAACTACGTCTCGTCCATGATCAATAATGTCAGGTGACATTAATTAGTCAGATGATGCTCTTTATATGTGGGATCCTAAAATCTGTCTCACGACATCAACTTTGCTGCAGAGTTTAGTTTTAACCCTGATCAAACTCATCTTATTAGATTCACAGATCAACATGGAGACAACAGGCAATTATATTAGACGGCAAGTCAACGGTAAACCAGTTTTACACAAACACAAACTTTAATGATGCCAAGTGTCCATTTTAAATACACGAAATGCCACTTTTATGATGCAAATTATCATGAAGTGCAATTGTACGGTGCATTTCAGTGGGCGAAAGTATTTACAAAGTGACTTCTAGTTTGATTTTTCATTAGAAACTCAAAGATGTGGATTTGTATGTTAATTAGGGGTGCTTTCACACCTGCCTGATTTAGTTGGGTTGGATCGCACTAGAGTTGGTTTTCCCTCTTGGTGCGGTTCGTTTGGGCAGGTGTGAATGCAGCAATAATACTCGAGTGCGCTCCAAAAGCGGACCAAATAAGCGTACCGAGACCTGCTTGAAGAGGTGGTCTCGGTACGCTTTCAAACGAACCCTGGAGCGGTTTGTTTGTGGTGAGAATATGATCCGTCCTAAAACAGGTCCAACCGCAAAAAGTACTGCGCCTTTTGGACTAATCCAGCTGCCGTAGACTGATGCACTGTGCATTATGGGATATGGAGGAAAAATATTAGTTGACAGCGCTTTACCAACAGAGAGAGAGAGCGGGAAAACATTACCTGATGGATCGTTGGTAATATTTCCGCAAGATGACCATGTCGCAGTTTAGCTAAATTAATTCACGTCTCCTCCTGAAGTGACGAGCGATGCATTAAACACTGTTTTCCAGCCGCGGCCGCGCTTCATTTTCGTAATGTATAGTTTGTCTAAAGCAGAGATACAATCAGGCAGCGCAGTCGTCCCTTCATAGTAAAAGGTTTTGTTTACCTGTGGGAGTTCACTGGCATTTTCCCGCACGTGAATTCTGACCAATCAATAAGCAGTTTAGGAAATCTGTTCAACAACATCTGGCCAATGAGAGATGTGGATTTTGTCACATGACTACATTTTGGTTCGTTTCAACTGGTTCAGACCAAAGCCAGCAGTGTGGTGTGAAAACGACCCAAAGAAGGCAGACGATGCAACGATGTATCATTTATTGTGCTTGGTCCGGACCAAATGAAGCGAACTACAGATGTGAAAGCACCCTAAATTATCACTTAATATCGGTGTTTGTAAAAAAAAAAAAAAAAAAACAGTAGGTGATTAAAAATTGTTAGAGAAAACAGACAATTTGGATTTGATATTGCTGTAAAATCACCAACTCTTCCCTGTAAATGTTGAAAATCTCTTGCAACCCCCTGTGAAACAATCACTGTCTGAATGGAGCCTTTGAGTATGAATATGAGTCCAATGAGTGAAATTCAGACGATCTTTATCTGTCATGTTATATCACATTACACATCAGCTTCAGTTGCATTGATTTGCTTCCATTCATGAATGCTTTACCGGGGCCTCATGAGATGGTAAAGTGCACAGAAAGCACAGTTCAGTATCTCTCTTGAAGCAGCAGGTCTCATTGGTCTACTGTTGAATTTAATAAGATGCCAAAACCCAGAAGAGTATGAGGTTTTAAGAGGGGGATTTTAATTGAGTAAACTCTATGGGAAACGGCTCAACTTGAATGTGTTGCTTTACAATACACGGCAAAACCAAATATTCTTATGTATACACTGCAAAAAAAAAAAAAAAAATAGTGTTCATTTATTGATTTGTTTTCTTTCTAGTCCAAATATCTGAACAATCTGACATTTTAGACCTCAAAAAATGGTCTTGTTTACAGAAATAAGTAAAAAAATAAGTGAGATTTTCCTTAAAACAAGCAAAATTATCTGCATATATGAATTCAATGGGATAAACAAAACTATTGAATTTCAAAGAAAGTAAGATTCACTGTTATTATGCAGATTTTTTTGCTTGTCATAAGGAAAAACTTGATTTTTACATATTATTTCTGTAAACAAGACAATCTTGTTTGCTTGTCTAGAAAATGCTTCTTGATTTAGGAATGTCTAGATATTTGGACTAGAAACAAGATGAGAGTTGTCTTGTTTCTACTCTAAATATCTAGAATTTATTATTATTTTTTTAAAGTAGTTCAAACCGGGTCCGTGACGTCATCAACTTTCTCTTTAAGATTTAAAGGGCTAGCATTGCACCAGACCTCCATAAGTGGTGTCGTTTGAAAGTGTAGAATCTCTATTTTATGCACATATAAATCACTTTGGTTTTAATTCTACTATACAAATGTTATTTACACTTACATACACAGTATTTTGGATACCCGAGCTGGGTATTGAACATTGGTTCATTTTTATATGCTTCATATATGACACACATTCAAGTTATAAGTCAAATGAAAGCTCTTGCCGGTGCTTATATGGTTCTAGCATTACTTTTACTGAATTATATTCACATATCAAACAGTTGTCGAATGAATTGCGGTGTTTCCATGACGCAGAAGTGAAAACAATACATTTATGATCAATAAGCAGCCCCAGATAGCACAGACAGCTGTCATCTCTTCCCTTATGCTGTGTGCTTCAGGACCATTCTCCTCTGTTTTTGAGGTGATGTGCATAAGTAATCCTTTTATATGTCTGACGTGGTCCAAACACAGTGAATTATGTTTGATCAAACAAAAGAATAGTGAAATATGAAAACAATGATTGCTCCCTATGGCTTGTACAGCACCTCTCATCAGCTGGAATACAATAACTTTTGCATAGATTATGGTGGAGACATTTTTCCTTTTTCCTATGATCACAGACATGTGCAGGAACCACCAACATTAATTAAAGCACGCCTAAACAGCACACAGAACTTTCAAATTTGAGTTTATAAAAACAAAATACAGAAATCACCTCTTTTTTTAGGTGTTTATTATAACGCAGACAACATATACAGATATTTTAAACACTTTCAATAGTGTTTTATAAAAATTCAAAGGGTTTTCTTTAAAACAATGCAATTTTTTTGCATTTACACCTCTGCATGTGGATTTTGGAAGCTTTTAAATTTGGGTAGGCAAAATCCAAGCGGAAATTCCCAAAATAACAGTGGGGTTTAAGTGGTTAAAAACGTATTTTATAAATTACACAGAGCAGCTTCAAAACTCTTGTATTTATTGATGGGGCTAATGTACTAATTTACTAGAGCAGTGGTTCTCAAAGTGGGGGTCGGGACCCCTTGAGGGGTCGCGGAACAATGAAGGGAGGTCGCCTGGTGATTTCCAAAAATCTACTTATTATTATTATTATTATTAATATTATTATTATTATTATTATTATTATTATTAGACCATAAGATTTACCATATTTTATCCATAACCAACTGAAGAGAAAAAACAGCCGTTTATAGTTACTATAGTAGCTTATTTACTTGTTCTATTGGATTGCGACCCCTGGGGTAAATACATTATATTAAAGACACAGCAATAGCATCAGATGCAGCAGATTGATTTTATAACACCAGGTTAAACTTTCTGGCCCATTTACAGCACTGACATACATTAAAAAAAAATAAACGAAGAATAGACTTTGGTCTATTGGTGTGTGTGCTCGCCATTGCATGCAAGTTTTCTGTATTTACAACCACCTCAGGGGATGTTGGGGGTCGCAAGTCACTGGTATTGTTATTTTAGGGGCCGCGTGCTGAAAAGTTTGGGAACCCCTGTACTAGATGTAGTGTAAAACATCTAAAAATATTAAGTTAAATTTACCACGGATGTGATTTTACTCAAATTAAAAACAAAACATTAGAAAAAATCAATCTATTGCACTGTATTGCCTGATGCCCATTCAAATGAATGAGGGCACAGTCCTTATGTTTCTGTAGTCTCTGGTAATGTGCCACCTTGAGGAGCTCTTTTTATGCTGGGTAATTTCGTGCCTTTGTTATCAGTGTTTTTAGCTAATCCAAAGCCCCTTTAAGATAAGCCAATCCACTCTGCGGCCATATTAACTCCAGATATGCAAGACCTTATTCATCTGTATGTGTATGGAGGAAAAACTGAAATTATACAGCGCTCTCTTCTTACCAAAGTTCAGTGAGTTCATCATGCTCGTCAGTAGTCTGAAGTTACACTGCCGTCTTTGTCATCATCTTCTAGAATTTGCAGCAAAATCGGTCATTTTAGGCTGTGAAAATCAGAAAAAGTCCAGTGAAATTCTGGAGGGATTGACAAATGATATGTCATGTAGAGCTTTTCTTTAGTGTTATGTAAACCTCCTAAATCACTGCGTGCTTAATGTTGTGTGTACACTGATTCATTCAGCTAATGCTTTTATCCAGAGCAATCAGACATGACCTCTATATAGACCGCAGGCCTGTTTCTTTTAATCATGATCATTTCATCTCCTTTTCCAGATATTAATCTGGCTGGCGAGCCCAAACCTCACCGGTCAAAGACCATCAAGCGCTCTGCAGGAGACATGTACAGGTTGGTGTTTTAGATGATTGTGTTCAGTTGTTTGTTTAATTGAGTTCTGTTGATTCTTGGGTTTTCCTCCTCCCGCAGTTCTTCGTTTGATCTGGACTATGACTTTCAGAGGGATTACTACGACAGGTGAGCGCTCCTAAAACATTCGCTCGTGTTTAAAGCCATCCAGCGCTGCGCAGAAGAGCTTTTCTATTATTCATTAAAGCCTCACCATGACTGTCTGGACTGGGATTTGAGCTGTTTCCAGGAATGTGTGTTAATCTGTGTGTGCTGGTTTTGGTGGTTCATTTGTGAAACCAAACTAATTTAATTAATTAAATTAATGGTCCCACTTTATAATAAGTGTCCTTAACTACTATGTACTGACATCAAAAAATAAATACAATGTACTTACTGTGTTCATAATGTATTTGAGAACACTTGTGGTGCTCTTGAGTTGGGATAGAGGTTGGGTTATGGACAGGTTTGGTGGTGTGGGTAGGTTTAAGGGTGGGTTAAGGTGTAAGGGATGGTCAACAGTGTATTTACAAATGTAATTACAAAAGTTAATTACAGATATAATTACATACATGCATTTAATCAAGCATAAGTACACAGTAAATACATGTATTTACACAATAAGTACATTGTAACAAACTATTAACTCCTGTGTAAGTACATATTAGTTAAGGCCACTTAATATAAAGTGGGACCAAATTAATTAATTAAAATAAACAGAACTTGGGAGAAAATAACGAAAATAGCTCAAACGTAACAATTTATAATTGTTAAATTAAATATAATAATTCTTAGTGTGCGTGTTTTTGTGACATATCAGGACACAAATCTGTATAATGACATGGGTATGACACGGGTATTACAAAAAGGAGGTGAAATACGAGGACATTGGTGACGTCCTTATTTCTCAAAATGCTCATAAATCCTACAGAATGAGTTGAATCAGAGTAAAGCTGTCTCCTGTGATGGTTGGGTTTAGGGGTGGGGTGGTTTGAGGGCAATATAATATACGGTTTGGGCTGCATAAAATGAATGGAAACCTATGTAATGTCCCCACTTTTAACAAAAACAAACGTGTGTGTGTGTGTGCGCGCACGCATGTGTGTGTTTTCAGGATGTACTCGTACCCGTCACGTGTTCCTCCTCCTCCACCTCCTCTGTCTCGAGCTGTGATCCCGTCCAAGCGTGCACGTGTGAGTGTGAGCGGCAGCAGGAGGACCAAGAGCAGCTTCAGCTCCAAGAGCAGCCAGCGCACGTCCCGCACCAGTGAGACACGCACCTTAATCTCACACTGTAATAAAAAATCTGGGTGTTTTGACCTGAAAATTTACAGACACATTCAAAGTAAGTAAGGCAAAAATATACTATTTGCAATATACACAACACTGAGACAAATGAAGGCGGGAAAAAACAGGAGAGCTGGCAGAAGGGACGCGGGCGGCGCTAAAGAAATGAAAAGAATAAAACCCAAACTAAATCTAACTTCCCCGAAGCATCTAATTAACTAACTATGTGAAAACAAAATCATTAACACGCGAAGATTCTTCCGAGTCCTGACTGTCTACTCTATCTATCTGTCCAAAAAGTACAAAGGGTGGCGCACAATGTTTGTCACATGACCTTCTTACCTGTCCGCTTCGTCTAAGCCTCGCAAACAGCGTAAAGTAGAAGGATATACGAATAACGGACGGATAATGCGAACACAGAAACGAGCAACAACAAAATACAGTTAGACGGGGTTATTTCTAAACGCAACGCAATAAACACAAACAAGCAGAAAAAAGCAGAGAAAGAGAAGTCAAAGGGCTAGCGAGTGGTCTGATTCGTGCTTTTATGATGGGTGGTGCTTTGCTTATTGGATGTGACGTAAGAGTGACGTAACTAGGGAGGAAATGACTGACAGCTGAATAAACCAATGAACTGAACCTGGGTATCATGAAAGCAGTTATATATACAGTGGGGATCGAAAGTTTGGGCACCCCAGGTAAAACTTTGTATTAATGTGCATAAAGAAGCAAAGGAAAGATGGAAAAATATTCGAAAGGCATCAACTTACAGATTAGACAATCTTTTAATATGTCAATAAAAGTTAGCTTTAATTTCCATCATTTACACTTTCAAAATAACAGAAAAAAAAAATGGCGTCTGCAAAAGTTTGGGCGCCCTGCAGAGGTAATATCTTGTACTGCCTCCTTTGGCAAGTATCACAGCTTGTAAATGTTTTCTGTAGCCAGCCAAGAGTCTTTCAATTCTTGTTTGAGGTATCTTTGCCCATTCTTCCTTACAAAAGTCTTCCCATTCTTTAAGATTTCTAGGCTGTCTGTCACGCACTGCTCTTTTAAGGTCTATCCATAGATTTTCAATAATGTTGAGTTCAGGAGATGGTGAAGGCCATGGCAAAACCTTCCGTTTACACTTCTTGATGTAATCCACTGTGGATTTTGACATTTACATTTAGTCATTTAGCAGACACTTTTATCCAAAGCGACTTACAAATGAGGACAAGGAAGCAATTTACACAACTATAAGAGCAACAATGAATAAGTGCTGTAGGCAAGTTTCAGGTCTAAGAAGGAAAGTATTAGTATATTTTTTTGTTTTTGAGTACAGTTAGTGGTATATCTAGAGAGGCAATTGCAGATTAGGAAGTGAAGTGGAGACTAAATAGTTGAGTTTTTAGTTGTTTTTTGAAGACAGCGAGTGACTCTGCCGTTCTGATGCAGTTAGGGAGTTCATTCCACCAACTGGGCAGATTGAACGCGAGAGTTCGGGAAAGTGATTTCTTCCCTCTATGGGATGGAACCACGAGGCGACGTTCATTCACAGAACGCAAGTTTTTGGAGGGCACATAGATCTGCAGAAGTGAGAGCAGATAAGGAGCAAAGCCAGAAGTCACTTTGTAGGCAAACATCAGAGCTTGATGCGAGCAGCAACTGGCAGCCAGTGCAAACAGATGAGCAGCGGAGTGACATGTGCTCTTTTAGGTTCATTGAAGACCGCTTGTGCTGCTGTGTGTTTGAGGTGTGTTTAGAATCATTATCCATTTGTAGGACCCATCCTCTCTTTAACTTCAGCTTTTTCACAGATGGCATCAAGTTATCATCCAAAATTTGCTGAAATTTAGTGAAGTAATTTTTCCTTCTACTTGTGAAATGTCCCCTGTGCCACTGGCTGCAATACAACCCCAAAGCATGATTGATCCACCTCCATGCTTAACAGTTGGACAGAGGTTATTTTCATAAAATCTGTGCCCTTTCTTCTCCAAACTTACCTTAGCTCATTCTGGCCAAACAGTTCTATTTTAACCTCAACGGTCCACAGAACTTGTTTCCAAAATGCATCAGGCTTGTCTATATGTTCATTTGCAAAGTTCAAACGCTGATTTTTGTGGTGAGGATGTAGAAGAGGTTTTCTTCTGATGACTCTTCTATGAATACTATATTTGTACAAGTATCTCTTTATAGTGGAAAAGTGTACCACAGTTCCAGTGTCTGCTTGATCTTTCAAAAGGTCTAAAACTGATGAGACAAATACCTCTGTCTCATCAGCACCTGAGTCTGGAAAAATCCAGGTCCAGCATGTGTCATGCGCTGTTTTCACCCATTCAGAAACAGGTGATTTAATAATTATATTCATTTAGACTTTTAGATTTCATACAGCTGTCCCCTCACTTTTAAAATGTCCACCCTGGTTGAAACCATATATTGTGCAGCGTTATTTGACTATATAATTAGTAGGGTTGCCTGATGTTGGAAAAAAACTGACATTGCAATATTTTTTCTTCTGCAATTTATAAATTGTGATATAAATACAATTACTACATTTCAATAGTGACCAATTTTTCTTTCTTTTTAAAATATTTCCCAAATGATGTTGAACAGATTCAGGAAATGTTCACAGTATGTCTGATAATATTTGTTCTTCTGGAGAAAGTCTTATTTGTTTTATTTCGGCTAGAATAAAAGCAGTTTTTAATTTTTTAAACACCATTTAAAGGACAATATTATTAGCCCATATTATTTTCGATAGTCTACAGAACAAACCACTGTTATACAATAACTTGCCTAATTACCATAACCGGCCTAGTTAACCTAATTAGCCTAGTTAAGCCTTTAAATGTCACTTTAAGCTGTATAGAAGTGTCTTAAATATCTAGTCAAATATTATTTGCTGTCATCATGGCAAAGATAAAATAAATCAGTTATTAGAGATGAGTTATTAACACTATTATGTGTAGAAATGTGTTGAAAAAAAAATCTGCTCTCCATTAAACAGAAATAGGGGAAAAAAATAAACAGGGGAGGCTAATAATTCTGACTTCAACTGTAAATTGTGCAGCCCTAATATTCACAAAGAAAATGCATGTCAAATTGGATTCAGTTGCACAATCCAATCAATAGTGTTTTGGTCGGGTTTAACATGCCAATTCATAAAAAATATATAAATAAATAAATCTTCAAACACTAGTGTGTATTTGACGCCTGAAATGTTTGGTAACCTGTGTGTTTTGTGTGTTTCCAGTGAGAGCTGACGATCTCCAGACCATTAAGAAGGAACTGACTCAGATTAAACACAAAGTGGACTACCTGCTGGAGAGTCTGGAGCGCATGGAGAGAGACCACAGCAAGAAATCGGGTATATAAGAGAGAGAAAACCATATTCAACAAACAGCAGTACATCTGGCAATATCTAATGCCACTAAACTCTCAATAAGATTTTTTTTCTGGGTCTTATTATTATTATTATTTTTATTATTATAATTATTATGGTTATTATTATTATTATTATGGTTATTATTTATATTGCTATTATTATTATTATTATGGTTATTATTATTATTATTATTATTATTATGGTTATTATTATTATTATCATTATTATTATGGTTATTATTATTATTATTATTATTATTATTATTATTATGTTTTTATTATTTTTATTATTATTATTGTTATTATTATTATTATTATTATTATGGTTTTTATTATTATTATGGTTTTTATTATTATTATTATTATGGTTATTATTATTATTATTATTATTATTATGGTTATTATTATTATTATTATTATTATTATTATTATGGTTATTATTATTATTATGGTTATTATTATTATTATTATTATTATGTTCTTATTATTATTATTATTACGGTTTTTACTATTATTATTACTATTATGGTTATTATGTTTTTATTATTTTTATTATTATTATTATTTTTATTATTATTATTATTATTATGGTCATTGTTATTATTATGGTTGTTGTAGTTATTGTTGTTATTATTATTATGGTTATCATTGTTATTATGGTTATCATTATTATTACTATGTTTTTTATTAATACTATTATGGTTATTATTA